CTAGAGGAAGTATCTCTGTGACCAAGGTATTTGCAATTTATGCTTATTGAAGAACAAATTTCTTTTTGAAAATGAGATACTGAAGGCAGTAAATATCCCCAATTCAAACTTTTTTTGACTTGCTAATAAAGCAGAGATGTAAATTGGTCTGGTCTTAAGAAAGGGTTTTATTTAATTAGAGGTAAGAAGTGTCTGCTGCTTTTTCTCCCCTAGAAATATCAGAATGTTAGATTTAATCTTCCTTATTTTGAAGGAGGTCACTCCTTCAGTTAGGCATATTGGGACCTTTTTCTGGTTCTTAATTGAAATATTCAAGTGTGGTTTTTTTTTTTTTAATGCTTTAGTCAACTAGTTTCCCATGTACCTGTAACCAAATGGGTATCAATACTGTTAATTTCCATGTTACCTTATGTCCTAATCCTTTATGTCTCCAGTTGTCCATGTATCTACCACAGAAATGATTACCTAAATTTTAATGTAAAAACACATAAAAATTGGATATAATTTTTTTCCCATTGTAGGTGACTTTCTAAATAATATACAAGATCCTTTGCTCATGTAGACTTAAAGGCACAGTCAAAGTTCACATGTGTGAAATAAGTTAAATATTGGACATTAATTGATGCTTTTTCCTTTCAATATAGGTACTCCAGGAGCAGGGCACACAGACAAACTTGGGCGGTTGAAAGAACTTTGTGAGCAATATAACATGTGGCTACATGTAGAAGGGTACAGAACTTAAAGCTCTTTCCGTACAGACCTGCTCTCCAGTTACGTTTGATTTAATGTGTGGCACTTAATTTCATAGCTAGCAAACACAATGGCAGGGCATACTCCATATATTTTACTGTTAAACTGTTTTGTATTATTATAAATTTGCCACTCTTTAAAGGTAAATCCCTGCAAATGTCACATTTGGTAATAAAAGGTTATTCCTGTGTACGTATGGAGTCCTGGTGGAAGTTCATTCATGAATGACAGATAATCTGCCCCTACTTGAAAGATATGAGAACCTAAATAAACAAGACCTGAAAATACTTAGGGGAGAGAGAGTGAGACTTAGTGTGAACCTTGTTTCAAGTGCCACACAATTAAGGGAAATAAACCAAAACACTGAAAGCTGCCTAAACAACATGAATGAAGAATGTCATGCTTTTAGACTAAGAGCTGTAAGAATGGAGACCTGAGTGCTACTGTATTGTGCTGTGCATTTTATGTTCAATGGCATGCTGTTAAAAATTGATAGAAAGCTACTAGAGAAAGGCAGTTAAGTGACAGGTTATGCTACCCCAAACTTGGACTGACATCTAAACTAGTTTCATACTTGAATTTTGAAATATTAAATAGCGATGTCTGTTTCATGCGCAGTAAAAAATATATGAAGAAAAATGACCTCCCTTTACAAAGCTGCATAAAATATTTAAACCAAAGATTAAAATGTATTTTACTTGACGAAAAGGTGTAAATATTTAATATATGTTAAGAATATTTTCTCTTTTCCAGAGTGAATTTGGCAACTCTGGCATTAGGCTATGTCTCCTCTTCACTATTGGTATGTACTAATGTATGCAATATTTGTAACATGCTTTAGATTTTAAAATTGTTACCTAATCACAATGTGTGTGTTTGGTATTCAGTCCCTATAGTAAACTTGAATATTTCCCCTTTAGGCTGCGACAAAATGTGACAGCATGACTCTTACTCTGGGTTCCTGGCTGGGTCTCCCAGCAGTGCCTGCAGTTACACTCTATAGACAAGAGGATCCTTCTTTGGTAGGTTTGATTGTTTAATCAACATCTAGAAGCTAGATGCTTTAAAATTACAATGCTAACATAGTGATTTGTAACTCAGTAAACAGTAATTTGCAAAGATGCCTCTTACAGCTGTGACGCATCTGTACCTTGATGGTGTTAGATGATTCAGGTTTTGTGTAAGGAATTTTAGTTATAAAATAACAATACTCTTCTCCCCTCTCCTCCTTTCCCTCCCACTTTAGTCCTTAGCAGCAGGTCTGACATCAAGTCAGCCTGTAGAGAAACTTCGTGCCCTACCACTATGGCTCTCCTTGCAGTACTTGGGACATGATGGCATTGTGGAGAGAATAAAGCATGCATCACAGCTAGTAAGTAGTAGTTTGTTAATATGTTGTTTAAAGGCATTCAGCTTTTCCAAGTATGGGATGGGATTTTATAAAAAATCTGTTACCTTATTTTTGCCTGGAGAAAAGGTGCTTGTTCCAATAAAGTTAAAATAGTAATGTTTTGGCAACAGTTATCTAGGCATCACTAGCACTATAACTGTTCAACTTTTTATATTTAAGAACACTTTGATTGTCATTTTAATATGTCTTCATGATGAAGCATCACAGAAACTAATGTAGAAGAATTAAATGGAAAGAAAGAAATGTGGTAATAAATATGCATGTGTATGCATGCACACTCGGAGTTAAATTGCAAACTGCCAAAAGCATCAGTTGGCCAGCTACATGAATACCATTTGGGTTCAAAAAGTGCAATAGGATTTAAACCTAAATTTCTCCGTGGCTCAGTTTCCCTTTTATAAATTGAGGATAGTAATACTTCCTCTCTCCTGTTCCTTGTAGGTATTGTCTATTTTGATTGTAAGCTTTTCTGCCCAGAGGCTCTCTTACTATGTATTAGCCAAGTGTCTAGCTCAGTACAAACAAATTAGTAATATATAAATCCCTGAAAATTCAGAATGCAAATACAGACAATTTTAAGTATACAGTTGCTGCCTGTTTGCAGTAAGTGATTTACTAGCACTGTTTCCTCTGGTAATCTTATCCCCTACCACATACTTTTAGCCAGTAACAGCAACACATCTGCTGCTTAAGAGCAACACATCTGCTGCTTAAGAGCAACATTTGTGAACTAGAAGACGCTTCACTGTGTCATAGGTCAATGGGGACAGCTTGTTCTCTGTGCTTTCTTGCCTTGCTTAGCAACCCACAGAGAAAATACTGAGAAGATGCACTTAAAGAAAATTTGTGGTTATTAAACTCTTGATGACAATCGGAACCAAGTAGCAGCCAAGTAGGGCTTGCACAGGTCAGTTATACAAAGAATTTAAAGTAGAGGGATTAGCTTTTAGAAGACGAAGATGGCCAGGCGAACAGCTAGTCACAAATGTGAAGAAAAAAATCCCTTGTATTGATGAGCACCTTTCTGTGATTCATTAAGTGCTTTCTGGACTCATAAGCAAGAAAAAGACCCTTCAATTTGCTACTGCAGTTGGACTGAATGACTTTAAGGCAAGTGATGGTTGTTTTAGCTGTTAGAAAAACCCACTATCACTTACAGAGAGGAGCATGAAGAGAAACAGTCTCTGGATAAACCCACTAGCAAACATTGGACATGAAAGACTTCTTCAGATTATTGAGAAGTTTTCCCTGTATGACATCTTTAATGCAGATGAAATTAGACTTCATGAGAGAGGGCTTTCTGACAGAGGACCCATGGAAGGAAGGAAAAATCTAGAAGGTGGGTGAGTTTTAAAGGACAGAGTAACTTTGCTTATATGTGCCAACATGGGTGGGACAAACCTGTTCAGCGTTACTCAGCTTCCTCTCAGTTATGACAGTTCAGCAAATGCTGGGGTGATGGAGATGCAAGTTCATAAAATCTTTTGTCATATCAAGGGGAAAAAAACCACAACGATATAAAAGAATCTGACCTCTCCTGAATGATGTTCCATTTTCTGCCCGTATGACACAAGAGGACTTAGTAGCTTCCCTAGTTGTGGATGAATGAGGAGAACTTCTCCATGTCCAGAGAACCAACTGATGATGTCACAGTTGTTATGAGGACATAGACACTACCTCAGGTTAAGAAAATGGATCACAAAATGGTGGATACATAGGGTGAGAATGAAGTTTTTAGGAAATTTTTTATAAAGTCCCATTTCTGATGAATGTTGATGGATATTGAAAGCCTTGAAATTTGCTTGTCATGTCTTACAGCAGGTATGTGTGAGTCTTGGGGACAAAACTTACTGGTTTCTTTGGGAAAGTTAATATCATTTTCCAAAGCAGAATTTTGAGTTGAAAGACATGGAACAAATTAAATTCTCTCATGAAAATGTAGTGATCCCATATATCTTGAATTTACCCTCTCTGAGCTCAGTGAGATGTTGATAATGCTTTGTAAAAGTACATTACAAAGCACTTTTTGATGTCAAGTATGATTTTAATTTAGGCTCTGTGTGTTGTCATGTTTTGTGTGTTTGTTCTTTGAACCTAAAAGTAAAACACTGACCCTGTTTTATAAAAAACTCAGTCGATACTGTTCCCCTTCTAGTCACTTTTAACAGGCTACCTTTGGTTAGATGACATGGCTGCTTAAAAGCTTCATAGTACAACAGTACTGGAATGTATCCGTTAATGGGCGTCAGCTGTAGTGGGAAGAATTAGTCTGAACTAAGTCGATACAGGTCTGCTCAATAAAAATTGAGATTCACAGAATATGTGGGAGTTACTAAGTACTGTCTTTAAGGCCCCTGGGAGATGTTGAAACAATTGTGCATTTGGAACTCAAGGAATTTCATGTCCCATCGCAAACATTGTGCCTCCTGCCATACCAGACATACATGATAGGAGGCACAGTGTTTGGGATGGGTATGACAGGATCTGCCTTAGAGCAGGGGCAGGCAATTATTTTGGGCGAAGGGCCGCTTGATGAGTTTTGGCGAGCTGTCGAGGGCCGCATGGGTAGCCCTGCCCCTTCAGTTGCCCCACCCCCTGGTCACCCTCTTGGGACCAGAAGTCCCACCCCCTAACCCCTAACCTTTGCCACTGGAAGTCCCTCCCCTGGAGGAGCTGAACCCCTGGAAGTACTCCTTTTAGAGAGGTGGCCTTGAAACCTGACCCCTTCTACAAGCAAGGACCCAGCCCACCCCATCAGGCCTCAGGCATCGAAAGCTGGCCAGCTCCCCCACCCATCACTGGTGCCAGCATGACCTGGTCCTGACCCATCCCAGCGCAGCCGCAGCCCCCCCCCACCCCCCCGTGGCACAGCAGAAGCCAGCCCAGGCCCAGGTACCCTCACCAGCACAGCACCCTCCAGTGCTGTGAGACCCCCTCCCATTCCGAGCCGCAGGGGGATCAGCCACAGCTTTCCCTCCCCGGTGTGGCCTAGCCAGCCCATCCCGTCCCCATCAAGCGGTGACTTCCCCACATGCTGCTGCACTTTCCCCCTACCTGTGCCAGCTAGTCCCAAAAGGCAGGAGGCTCCATCACTGCTTCTGCTGGCCAGTGATGACCCAGCCAGGCATCCCCAGCAGCACGTGGGAAGCCAGCTTCATCTGATTGCTGCTCCGGATGGGGCTGGCCCAGCTGGGTCGGCACCAGCCAGGAAAAGCGGCATGCAGCTGAAGCCAGCTTCCCACGTGCTGCTGGGGATGGGATGACCCCAGCTGGATCAGCACTGGCCAGCAAAAGCAGCGGCAGAGCCATGTGCTGCTCAGGACTGATAGGCAGGTAGGGGGAAAGTGCAGCTGAGCCCTTGCCGCTCCGGCTGGGCTTGTCCCATCCTGAGCGGCACACAGCTCTGCCGCCACCTCTCCTTCCTGGTGCTGACTGGGCCAGAGCTGTGGCCCAGCTGCTGCTTTCCCTCCCCAGTGCGGGCGCAGCCCAATCCCGCACAGCCCAAGTGGCGTGGCATGGCATGGCATGGCATGGCACAGGGAAAGCCTGCCCAGCAGCCACTTTCCTGGGCTTAACTGCAGGGCAGGGCCCTTCAAAGCCTTTTGTTTCATTTCGATTTCACTGTTTTGAGCTTGAAACGCGTCAAAACAGCTTCAAGATGAAACGCTCGTTGAAATTTCCACAGCCCTAATGCTTACTAACTGTACCCCTTCCAGTCATCTGATGCCTCTTTCTCAGAGTCCAGCACAAGTGTTTCTCTTTAGCCAATCTATAGGCTTGCCTTTTCTCAGCCTGCCTCTCTGTGAGCCGACCCACAGCTCCTTGGCCAGCTTCCCTCAGCCCAGTCCTGTATATCGGGCAGGGGGCTGTTACCCAGATTACAGGTAACCTTACAGGTTGATTGCTGATAAGAGGCAGAAGGAAGTCTGCAGCCTGACTTATTTTCTTGCACTTCAAAAGACAAAAACAAGCATTTATCCCAAAGTCTATCTGGCAGCCCATGACAGCACAACATAGACTGTCACGTACACTAGCTGGGGAGACTCAAGAGGTGGGAGGAGGGTGACATGCAGATTTGCAGCAAGTCTTCTTGAATGTGCTGAGTTCTCCAATTTCCCTCCAGCCTATACCCCATCTTTATAGATGGCAGGTTCTAATATTCTAATATATGGCCTCTGATTGGTTTTATTTAAATGTCTTTGTTGCACTGAAACTTTTGGAGCTGGGCTGAACCAGATAACTTGTGGATGTGTATGGTGTCACTTAGTTGGGATTTACATCCTTGGGAAAGTAAAGGGGAGGATTTCTTATCTCCTTTCCTTCCCCATTGTGGAATGCTGTTCAACATTGTCCTGTTTCTTCTTTACCTTAGTTTATGGTCTTCTCTGACAAGGCTGTTTTGTTTTTACAAATTAAATACCTTAACAAAAAATAATTTTATTATAACAAAATAGCATCTAATACATTTGGTTACATCAATCACTACTACTAATATTTTATATATTTGGATTACTTAATGCCTGGTCTTCCTTTTATAATAGCTCCTTTCAGGCCTGGTACTTTGTTTACTTGCATTTCATTACTACTTTTCTTAAATATGTTGATAGTTTCCTTTACTTTGCTGACCAGGTTGGTTGCCACATCTGCAAAGGCTCATGCTTCAGTCATTCAGAAACAGATTTTGGAGCCTTCTACTTAGCTACACTTCTGCTACTTGACCTAGGCCCCTTGAAAATGGCCATGGCTGGCAACAGGGTGACTCTCCCATACCTGGGGCTGACCCCAGCCTGATCCTTAGGATTGACTAGGGTATCCCCAGGCCCAGTTTCAGACCTGGGGCTGTTGCCAAAAATAGATGATTGCCAGCTGTGGCCCCAGGTCTGATACAAGGGCTTCCTCTGCTTGGGACTTCAAACCCTGCATCCAGCAGCTTCAGAGGGAGGGTTGCCAGCCGCAGGGGATCAGAGGCTTCCAGTGGGGAAGAGCAGAAGAGTTTTACCTGCCAGGGACTTTAAATAGCAGGCATTTTAAAGTCTCTGACAGGGGAAGCTTTTTGGCTCCCCCTGCCAAGAGTCTCATCCCCCCACACTGGCCAGCCCTACTGGGGCTCACCATTATGGAAGTTGAAACTCCTCTGCTTAAGAACCCCTCAGCTCTGCCAGGAGTCCACAGGGCAGCCTGGGGCTGATGCTGACAATCGGCTGATGGTTCGCACTAGTCCTGGGGCAGCCCTGAGCCAGCTGGAGACCAGGAGTTGCCCTGGGCTAGTGTTGACAAGATTATCAGCACCATGGGTTGGAGACCTGAAGCTGTCCAAGGCTGACTTCAACAGACAGCTGATTGTTGGGCATCCACCCCCGTTAGCCCTGGTATATAGACATGCCACTCCTTCAATTTTAAGGTGCCATAAAAACCAACCATAACAATGTTCCATGTGTTATGTGGAACATGTAATGGCTGACTTGTCATTTAATAACACCTTAAATTGGGTGCGTTGGTAACACCCTCACTTCTTATGGCATGTTAACACATTAGCGGTGGAGGGAGGAGGGGGTGGCTGCCATCTTGGCTGCCTGTGTGTTGGCAGCCGTGAGAACTGCTGGCTTCTACTGGAGAAGCCAGCATTTTATTTCAATAAGGTGCCTCCCCACCCCACCACCCACCCTTAGTAGTACATCCCTACTAATGTATTAATGGCTTTAGTTTTAGTTTAGGTTCTTTAGGTTAAAGAATATCTTTCTAAATTACTTAATTAAAAAAATCCTGTTACTGGTTGCCATGGTAGCTTGGTGCACTTTGGGGTTGGGTGGGAGGGAAGGCTGATCTGAGCCTTTTGAATAGGGCAGGATATAAATCAAAACTAATAAATAAATAGTGCAATCAACACAGTTGTTTAGATGACAAATTAAGACACAATAAAGGCACAGACAAAAGTGCAGCTCCCCGCTGTAACTGAGAAGGCTTTGCAGGAAGTGTTCTTCCGAGTTGCAACCATCCCCCGGACCAAACTGTTCAAAATGGGAACATTTCAGAATGGGAGGGGGTGAAAGGGAGCAGAGGGAGCTTGTTCTAGGGGTTCCCTGGCTCTGGATGGTGGGGCAGCTGAATTGAAGCTTCCCATGCCCACCTCAGGGGGCTCCAATACACATGCCCCACCCTCCAGCAGGGGCTGAAAACCCCCTCAGACCAAAATCTCTCTGTTCCCTTTCACCCTCCCATTCCGAAAACAGCTCAGACAGAAGTTACAGAAGGCACTCTGTTTTGAAACATCTTTATCTGACCCCCTCATGCAATGTGGGATCAGATTTTCACTGGTCTGTTTGGCCATTTTTGAAGCAGTCTGCAGCTGTGCACTTATGTTTATAGTAGTATATATGTACAGATGGATGATATTGAATGGATAAAGTTGTTGCTATGCATATGAAAGTAATTTTAAATTCCTAAAATCATTGTTTTTCTGTGATCTTTTTAGAGTCAGAGGTTGCTGGAAAACTTGAAAAACCTGGATTTTATTAAAACTTCGGTACAGTTTACTTTTTATTACTTCTACTCATTTTGCCATTGGTTATTAAATACCAGAAATATCTTGATAGAAGAAACAAACCCTATGACAGTTTGGTGGTGGTGTTGTTTTTAACTATTAAAGTTATATAACTTCATTCAGGGCTCATGGTAGAGGTGATATCTTTTATTAGACCAACAAGATTTTTGCAAAAAAAATCTTTTAATTGCAAGGTTTCAGGCACAAAAGATCACCTCTACCATAAGCCCTGATTGCTTTTTCCTCTAGCCCAGTACGGCTACAGCTTGGATACCTGACATATAACTTCATTGACATTTTGGGGTATAACCTGAGTTGCATATGGCAAAGATTTCACTCTTTATCCATGTACAGCCTCAGGCTCATGCTATAATGCCCAGAAGCTGCTTCCAAGAGTACTCGTTAAACCATTGACTCAATATTCTTTCAGGATACAAATTTTTCACAAGATCCTTTGGAAATTATATTTTGCAAATGAAACTAGCTGTACCCTCCCCTTCTGTTGAGAAGATTTTATAGTTGTTCTCAAATCTGTAAACAAAATATTTGTCCTACTAAGAGTTTAAGTTGAGACAGGTCTTTTAAAATTAGAACGGCTTGTAATTGAGAATTTTGTTTTTTAAATTAGTTGCATCTAAGGTAATTTTGGTGAGAAGATGCTCTGATGTACGGAGCAATTTAACCCTTTGAATATAGTATTTATTCTAATACACATCGTAGTTTAATTGGAAAGCAAATGCTATGGTTTGTGATGAGTAATCTTATTCTGCTTTGTGAGTAGAGTAATCTCATTTCGGAACTCATTTGCAGTATGAAACTCCATGCTGGCCCCTCTGTCTGTGTATGTTCTGAATAACTTGTATTTGTCACTGAAACAGCCGAATAGTCTATTTGGAGAGATTTCTACCAGGATCTTTCTCTCCTAATACTAGGATACTGGGGTTAACTTAACCCTAAAATATCTTAAGTATTGTATATCTTCCAATGAACATTCTTTTTTTTTACTTTATAGTGCTCCAAGTTCAGTTGTACAGAACTTTTTAAATAAAAAAAAAATTCTGCTTTATGTGAAGGGAAGCAGTAATCTACTTTGCTAAGTTTGCCTGTTTACATGCTTATATAGTCACAAAGAGCTTTGTTTTTAATGACTAAACCAAAATATTAAGATTTGAACATTGTGAATATTGACAAAACAAAAGAATGTTGGCTCACCTTAGTTAATTGTGTACATACAACATTAAGTCTTTTCTAAGTGCATTTTCATAACACAGATTTTTCTTATTTTTATTTTTAAGGTTGAAGATGAACTTAGCTCTCCTGTTGTAGTATTCAAATTTTCCCAGGACCATCCAAATATAGGTACATAATTTATGGATAATAAATAATAAAAAGCAGTAGGGGGCAGCCTTTTTTGGCAGGCATTCTACAAATTAGCCCTACACTTTCAGTCCCCTTCCCCAGTCTGATCTGCTTTCTGCTCCCTGCCCTGTGCTCCATGCCTGATCTGTTGCTCTACTTCCTGCCTTCTGTGCTCCCTGACCCATCTACTGTTCTCCTTTCTTTCCTGCCCTACACGGTACTGCCCATCCCCTTTCCAGTCTACTGCATGCCACACAGGCCAGCCACTCCAGAGGTTGGCCCCACCTGTACCAAAGTACGTGTGCGTGTGCATCTGCGTGTATGTAAATAAATACATGCGTATTACATTCTTGTTGCAAAGCTCCATTCCATTGCAGTATGGGAGAGTGAGTCATAAGTGGCTAGAATAAATGCATTTTAAGTTCATTATCAGTTTGAATTATGTGACCCACAAAATTAAGAAAAGATATATAAACGTATGTGCAAATTGTCTATCTTTTTCTAGAAAGTATTGCTCATTGGAAAATGTAGTAACCTTTTATATTATTTTGTATAAAAATCTCTGTTCCTTATTTTTGGGTTCAGATCAAACACTGCATGCTTCACAGACCTCTGCAATTCAACACACTTTAACCAACAATGAGAGACATATTTGTGATACCTTCAATCAGTGGGTAAGGCTGGACCTTCCTTTTTTTTGTAAAATGGGGAAAGACGGGATAGCTCAGGGGAACTGCTTACAGAAGCGACAAAACTAGCTTGGTCATAATTGAATATTTGCTCTTCCATGTGAAATTCAGGAGTGGTTCTGAATTAATAAGAGGGATTTAGTTCTAACTGGCAGCTTTTCATATGAATTATATTTTAAATTATAATATATACAACATTTTAAACTCACAGGTGAAAATGTTGATACCTTTTCTTTAAGTCTTACCCCCAAAAGTTTATATTTGTAGGTCACTAGGGTTAAATAAATGTTCTCCTTTGTCATGCATTCCAAAAAGCAGATTTGTGCATTGTGTTGCTTTTTCTGTTCACTAGATCTCTCTCCATTTTAAGTTAGTATTTATAGTCAATGAGATGCAACCTATAGAGGGGAACCCTGTACCCCAGGAAAGGTGACTTTCTTTTGTTTGCCAAAATAAAAAACTTGTCTCAGAGGCTTTTACTGGCTGAAGTGGAGAAGATATAACTTAGAGTTTAAGGCAATTTACTGTCAATGCAAGTAGTAACTGGTAACACAATAAGACCATCTTGTTGCGGGGGAGGGGAGAAATTATGTATGTTTTTCACTCACCAACCCCCCTCTCCCCCCACACACACACATGCACTTCAAATAGATGTAGAAAATGGAATTGTGTTAATTACACTGTAAGTTCCTTTAATTTTCTATCTGCCTTTGTGGTACAATCTGAGTTTGAGGTTTTATGCTGTGCAAGTGCTGTAGGAAGGGAAACAAGACTACTAGAGTGTGTCAGATCCCTTTTTCTACAACGTGGAGAGCTTAAATGTTCCTGCCTCCCCTCATATGTAGTCATACAAGTCTGTTGTTTTTGTTTTCTTTGCCCCTAATTGAACTAAGGAGCAAGGGTTGCATTGTGTTAGGAAAATGAGCAATTCTAAATATGTAAAATATGCATACTTTTAATAAGTGCTGCAGTAAATTCCCAACCCGTTTATGATGCTTATGCCAAGGCTAGTTCAGTATTCTTGTAGGGCAGTGGTTTTCAACCTTTTTTTTCGTTTGTTGGACCCCTTTGGAAATTTTGAATGGAGGTGCAGACCTCTTTGAATTGTAAGTGTGGGGGTATTCACATACTTCTGATTGATCGTAGTCTTCTTTTGTGGACCCCTTAGACATGGTCTACAGACCCCCAGGGGTCCACAGACACAAGTTGAAAACCACTAGGATAGGGGTCCTATCCTATGCAAAGTAAGCAGATGGGGGACAGCATCATGAAACCGATCCATTTATTTTGCTTTTCCACACATATGACTTCCTGTAATCACGGTCTTTCTCCATATTTCCCCTTGAACCTCTGCAAATCTACATGAATTAGGAAATGGAGAGGTGAAACTAAAACACAGTGGTTCGTGGGGGATTTTATAACCGTTGAGACAAAACACTTATAAGGAAAAAGCGTTCTGCAGGTCAAAGGCCTGCAGAACATACAGCCAGGCAGCCACACAAGTAGCAGCAACTTCATATTGCTGCCACTGCCACTGGTGTAATTGTGCAGCTGTGCTCACAGCCTTTTTTTTCTGCTCCTCTCCTCTCCTCTCTCCCCAAGTCAGTACCTGACTCGCCACCCTAGTTATGCCACTGCTGTAGGTACAGATACTATATGCCGTCCTGTATGAATTATAATATCATTATAGGTTGCTGTGGACATTGTCATTACCTCTTCCTGCATGAAGCATGAATACAATTTGATTAACTTGCAGAAACTATGAAATAAATCATGTCTTGGGGTTTGCTTAGAAACTGTGAAATAATTTAATATGTACATGGCTTTTGTGTTTTGTCACTTAAGGTTGAGGTGAGCAAGCCAATGCTTATATACTTCAGGGAAGAAAACTAATTAACTTTTAAGTAGTAGAAAAAAGAAGCCTTATTTGGGGCATTGAAAATATAGGACTATTCCAGTCCAAGTTGGCGATCTTGGAAACTGTGCTCTATAAATTCCTTTAACTAACTATGTCTTGTCTCTTCAGCTTGGAGAACAGTTGGCACAGTTGATTCCAGCCAGTGGAGTTGATGTGGTTGAACTAGAAGATGAAGGCACATGTGTGCGTTTTAGCCCATTAATGACTTCTGCAGGTAACAGTGTCATTTAACTTAGCCACTTACCCAGATAGTTCATTTGGGGAGGGGAAAAATTGGAATTTGCCATTAAAATGATAAATATCATATTTGTGTAAACTGAATCTGTTCTTCACGGACTGACTTTCAGTATATTCTCCCAAGATTTTTTTTTTCCCTTTAGCTACTTAAATGAGACAGTGACATCTAAAAGAGGTTCAGGATTGTCTCATAGCTTAGCAACTGTTACTTTAGAAAAACATTACTCTTTGTGTATGGCATCATGGTCCTCCACCTCTGTAAAGCCTTCTATTTTGTCAGTATTCACTAGAAAGAATAAGGTGAGAAACTGAGGAAGGTTCCTTTTTAAACTCTCAGGCATTAGAGAGGAGTCGTCATAGTTCTTCTTTCTCTCATTCCTTTGGATAAAGGATATACTCTTACTTATTCAGATGGTTAGATATAGGGACTGAGCCCTTGAATAGAATAAAATAGACTATTTTGAAAGAGACAAAAGATCCATTTAAACATGTGTCTGTCTGTCCATCCTTCCCCAGCACCCTTTTTCTTAGTATTGATGCAGAAAAGAAATTCCTTTTTTTATTTTTTCTCCTTGGAACAGGGTGTAGTATCAGATTAGAGAACCAACTGTGTAGAGAAGTAGGAAGAATTTTTTTTAATGTGGTTATGCTGTCATTTTTTTAGACAAAAGTAGCGCAGAATCATTGTGGTATAGTTTGGCTGTATATGGACAGAATTATGTTTAAGTTATTAATGTAGTAAATAAAGGAATTGACATTAATAGTTTATAATATCAGAAAGTCTCACCATGATATAGCTTATTTTTTCCTGAAAAATTGGCCACAGCTTTTGTCATGTCTCTGCTGTGTCAATGGATGGTAGATCTGAAAACAGATTTCAGCACCCAGGTGAAGATAATGCAGTAATATTAAGATAATCTATGCAAAGACCATTGTAAATATATTGTGCAGGGCCAGGTATCTGGCTGGCTGAGATGAATCAAAATGTGAATAATCTGTCTCTGAGTCCACTACTTCACATACTAATAGATCGGCTCTTTAGTGTTAGGAACGGAGGTACAAGATGTTGATCAGTTGGTGGACTGCTTAAAAATGAAGATACCAGTACTGATGAGCACACTACAACTAAGAGATGAATTTGAGCAAGAAGTGAAAAGAACAGTAGGTTTGTCATATATTGAAGATCTCAGTTGGCCAGGATTGGGTGTTATAAGGTAAGTTTTGGGCAGCCCCAGACATGATATTGTTTGATGTTTTCCTCATGAGATTTGACTAAACAATGCATTTGGTAAAGAAGACATGACCCTGCTCACTAGTGATTTTATTGCATCCTTTGGGCCTGTAGAATTTGGCTTATGGCACAGCTAAAATTTTCTTATACTGATTTGTGACTGAACTATATTTTCTTGAAGATATCATCTGTGTTTTGCGACATACTTTTATTGGGTATTTGACACATTTGGAACTTGGCTAAAGATCTGCTTTGCAAAATAACTGGGTTGACAACCCTAACATTTAACCGTTGTTGTAAATCAGTTGCATTCAAGTGCTTTTATTCATCCCACTGTATTTGGCTTAATATTACAGTCCATTTTTAAAAAATAATGGAATTCATTTGTCTTTTGGCAAATACAACGGTTGATCATTTCTTGGCACATATTGTAAAGTTTTCCATTTGTTCAAAAAATTGAGCTGTAATCAATACTGAACTCCCCAAAAGATACTGCAACAAACTTCTGTATCCACGGGTTTTTTTTCCAGCTGCAAATGCTGAGTTACTGTACTTCCTCTGCTTGGTTACTTTCAGTATTTTGACTTTAGGTAGCACATTAGTTTGTAGAAACATGCTAAAAGTATAGATTGTTCATGTTTTGTTTGTAATGTAAACTAAAACTGTGCTGTCCTCTGTCTTGATGTTAAAGATATGACTACAGAGGTGATGGGAAGAATGATGACAAGCAGGATAAAGAATTGGAGAAAATTAACACTGAACTTCTGAAAAAATTAAGTGAACTGGAATCAGATCTTTCCTTTTCTTTAGGTAAATATACTGTTGAAAAAACTTCCAATCAAGTTAATGCTCTCTTGACTTTTATTTTCCTTGTTATGAGTGTTACTACAAGTCCTAAACTTCTAAAGATAGACAGGTTTCTAGAACTGCTTTTCTTGGTTCCATAGACTTCTTGGACTAAGAAGTCAATGAAAAACTAGTTCCATTTGTCAACAACAGCTGTGGCAGGATGAACTACTTCTGTTAACTAGATGCACTAAGCAAGCAGGATTGTATTAACCTGAGGACTGTTTCCTTCCCAGAAAGCCTAAATGCTGTGATATTTAAGTTGATGAAGTTATGATTGATCTTCTCTTAGTCTCAAACTGATCCCACTGTTGGCTGTTTACTGCATTCCACAGTTTGGTTAGTTTAGATGCCTTTTGCCATGACAAAATAATCTCAGTTGCACTTCAACCAGGGTGTCATTTGAGTGCACGAAGGTATTGTAGTATGGTTTGGTAAGAATGCTGGCGAGTTGCACTTTTGGTGCATTAGTGGTTTCTAGTCTCATTCTTATTAAAGCCAGGCTCATATTTTTAATCTTTAAAGGGAAAATCACCTAGGTGATGCCATGTATGAATATGGTAAAGAAGCAATTGCTTAGAACACTATACTAGTGATACAAAATCCCAGTGAAATCCTCAAATTCCTTGTAAATTGATATGGTAGGCTCTTGGGTGCAATCCTGGAATTTCCAGGTAGACCTTGCCTGATTCTCTCCATACCATTATTGCTGTAAGATGACAAGCCAATAGCAGATAATACACCACATTTCAGCTCTTATTTTTCACATTAGGTGGTGTCGTGACCCTTTTAAGATATCCTTTTATTTTATAGGTATACATTTGTATACAATATCTATTGTTTCTTCTCATTAAACCTTAGATGTGGTTTTTCAGTAAGAAAAATACAATGCCAAGCACTAAAATTTTGCTTTTATTAATGAGGTATATGCAAAGTTAAAAGCTTAAGTGTTGGGATTCCCAGACGTGTTATTGTGAGTGTGGTCCCTCTCATGAGAGATTTTTACATTGTCAGCAAAAAATAAATAAATTCGTCCTTCTTCCTCCAGGCCCAGAATTTGGAGGGGAGAAAAACTGTGTGTATATTGGCATGGTAACTGAGGATCTGGATGTGTCTGAGCTGGTAGAAACTATTGCAGCAACAGGCAGAGAAATTGAAGAAAATTCTAGAGTATGTATTGAAATTGAGACTTTTATCTTGTTTTTTTATATATTGGTTTCAGAGCACTTTCTGAAAGAAAATGACACTTAACCAATACACTTAACTTAGAGCAATTTACATTGTTTGTGAGAATTGTTCCCGGTGGTCTGATTCTTGTAAAATCTCTGGGCTCATTCAATCGTACAATGAGCCAAAGAGTTTAAACCATCTAAGGAAACTCTTTTTTTCTACATCTAGGGAGTTGAGACCATCTTTTAGCATTAATTCTTTCAATTTCTCTGACATTAGTGCAACTGTGAAAGTTTCCACTGCAACTTCACTGACATTAGTGCAACTGTGAAAGTTTCCACTAGTTATCTGTTAAAACGTCAGCTTGGAAATGAGCATTACAATATGTTCATTTCAAGGACACTTCCTTGATGCTTGTAGAAGATTACCTGAGAATCCTTGGGTGCTACCCTTAATGTCTAATCTAATGGAGTTCTTGGATTAAAATCTGCATTAAGGAAGGTGGTTGCCATTGGAGTAAAGATAAAATGTTCCTGGTATTGGACAATTCCTGCTATTATGGAATAATTGATCATCACTTCAGCTAATTAATCTTGTGGATCTTATTTTCTCACCTACAAAATAAATTCTCCTTCAGGCATCCTCTGCATCTTTCCACTCATGGGGTCACCAGGGTGCAGCTCTGCAGTGGAAGCTCTTAGTCATGTCTATTGTAGTGCTATCATGTCTGTTCCTGCCACTCTTCTCACTGTTTCTGTTCAGGGGATGTGTCACTACAAACATCTTACTTCCTCCCATCTGAGCCCTCAGCCTGGATCCTCTCCTTGGAGAGTTTGCATTATAATTCCAGCATGATTTTTATGTAGACTTCTAGCATGGACAGTTAGCTTTCAACACGTTACAAGTTCTTAAGAACAGAAAAAGGTTATTCTAGGTTGTTAATGATGCTCGCGATTAGGATCTGATGGTTGGTCTGAAAATAAAGACTAAGTTTGAAGAGGTGTGCCAGTTGCCCTATTGTCTTTCCAGCTCATACAGAATGCCTGACTTGTCTCAAGAAGAGCTGTTTCTCCTTCAGGTGTTATGTCATCAGTGTTTCAATCACAGGGGCACAGAGAAGCCTGGATGAACAGACTGGTAGTTCTACTTCTGTAGGAGATGGTGATTAGATTCATGAATGAGCATACACCAACTTTTGCTCCTGGTCCCTCTAGGGGGAAAAGGCAACAGAAACATCTTTTGAGGCTCCAAGAGACCTGCAGCAATTAGTATATTTTAAGCCATGAGCTCCACAACTGAAAGGCAGATGTGCCTCATCAATGGCCTCTGTACAGAACCAGTCCACAGGTACAACTCATTTGCACCCACCCCACCCCTTTTGGGTCTGTGCAGAAAAGTAGTTGAGTATTCAGAAAGGACTCAAGGAAAGGAGTGTCAGCAGAGCCAAGGTGTACTTGTGGGGCGTATTCCTGATCAAGCCTGTATGTTTCCTAGCCAGTCAGATTCTAAACAAAGACTATAGGACCAGAGGCTTGGAATCCAATTCTCCATTTCTACCCCTCCTGCAAAACCAGCCACATCTATAGCATTTTGGATCTGCTAGGTAACTCTCTCAATTTATGTCTGAGAGCCCTAAGACCTGCAGAGAGGAGATGTTCTTAACCTCTGCACCCCCATGCTGCTGTTGCCATTCTTCCAGAGAAAAAGGAAAATGTTCTTCACATTTTCAGAGTAGCACTTCCATCCTTTCTTAGGACTGTCCCCTACCTTCCTTGAAGGGGGAGAAGGGTGCTGCTTGTCAGAGCTATCCTGTCAGTGGGAATATGCAGGACACGAGATGATCTGTATTTTATCTGTAACTAAAGTTTTTTCCAGGCACACTCTGTGTAGTCCCATTTCCTGTCCACCTTCCCTTCTTCTGCACCTAATCACAGTCTCAGACTTATGGGAAGTAGTAAAGGAGTAAAGCAGACAGGGCCTCTTGGCCTCTGAACTGTGGGGAATGGTCAGGGAGAGCACACTGCTATCAGTTTTCTTCACCAGAAATGCACCATTTATGCACCCTATAGTGTGAAAATGCAGAGGACAGCCAGATGCAGGTGAACGACCTTCAAGTAACAGGAATACACAGCAGTTCACTTCAGAATGGTTTTCTGCCTTAAGAACTATTTAATAAACAAGACATCTACGTTCAGTTTTCTGCTGAGTGTCTGCTTTAGTGTCATTTGCCAAGTGCTGGCCTAACTTGGTAAAATGTCCAGGTGTTCCATTTAATGTAATCATCAAGACTAGGACTAAGATGCCAGTTCAAGTGTAAGTGATGCAGTACTTTTTCGTTTTTTTAATTAGCTGTTGGAAAACATGACTGAGGTTGTTAGAAAAGGGATACAAGAAGCACAAATTCAGCTGCAGAGGGCAAATGAAGAAAGACTTCTTGAAGAGGTAAGACTGTCCAAGTAAGTGCGTGAGCTGCTTTGCAATCTGGTGGGTGGCTCAGTCACCAGAATTGATCTTTCCATTGCGTGTTCTGTAGGGGCTGCTGCGCCAGATTCCTGTCGTCGGTTCTGTGCTGAATTGGTTTTCTCCATTTCAAGCTTCACCAAAGGGAAGAACATTTAACTTAACAGCAGGTAAGAATACATTTACAACAGTATGACATTAGTGATAGCTGTGGAAGTGGGAACCTGTAGGCTTCTACTCATTAACTGATTTTAAAATATCTGACTTGCACGATTAAAAATGCACTCTTTAGATACTGATAGACACCTTTCACAACACTTCCTCCAGCACCAAATAAAAAGAATTCCGCACTGTTCCCTGTCCTGCTCACTGTTAGTTCTCCATACCTAAAACTCTCATATCAACCTAGAAAAACTTGCTGGATTTGGTTGTCTTCCTGTGTTATGTAACAAGAAAGGGCTCATTATGTCATTTCCATAAATTCCAGACATATGACCTGTAAAACTGGATTTCTTCTTATGCTTATAACGCATATACCAGCGAATGGGGAGATCTTAAGGGTCTTGAGAATCTTCTTAGAGCTGTGTAGTGTATGTTTCAGCTGGGGCCACCAGAATGTGTATTTACCCAAAGTCCAAGATGCCTCTGAATTTAAGATGGGTCCCCCAGTAATTAGATTCTATACATAACACATTTATAAATTGTGCATGTATAGAATCTAATTATTGGGGAATCTATCTTAAATTCATCCCCCCACCCAGACCTGTGGCAGGGGGGCAGGTGGTAGGGTGAGGCAGTGGGGTACAGATGGTGAGAGGAGCAGTGGGGGAGCAACTAGTAGGGGGTACAGGCAGTATGGGGGCAGTGGGGTCAAGCAACTTGACCTTTGCTTCCCCCTCCATGCTTTCCCTGTGTATGCTGTTATGGGTAGCTTTTGTGCAGAGCAGAGCTAGGTATGTTTGGTCAGGCACCCCAAGCTGACCACTTTTATTTTTGCTGCTGGCCTTAGCTAAGGACCCATTGTTCAGGGTCCTCACCTCTGCTGCAGCTGAGTTAAGTCCATAGCACCACCACCCTGGGCTTGCAAGAAATGCAAAAGAAACAAATAAAGAGTTAAATAAATTGCCACTTAGCGTTTCCCTGGTTTCATGCCTCTGACTTTTCGCAGGCTTCATTTGCTGGTACCCTCTTACCTTTCAGAGGCTTGGGGCCTGAAGGACTTGTGCAAACGAATGCTTGCTCAGGGCTCCTCCCTGTGGGCTGCTTGACCTCTGCTAGCCCCAGGCTCAAAGCAGCTTACTCGCATCCCCCCCGCCATACTCGCATCCAAGACAAGGAGACCTAAAGAACATTTTTTCCCATGTTAAACTGTGGGGAAAGAATACTTTCTTTTCTGTGTGGCTTCTATTTCGAATGACCCTTGGGCTGTTCCTACCTTCATCACTCTGCACAGTGAGTGTAAATCTGTTAGGGAAGGACATGCTAGAACTGAATCATACTGTGTGTGTCTACACAAGACACTAACTGCACAGTATCCTAATAACACTACGCAGTAGTGTGTTGAACAAAACCTGTGCTACCCGTGCTAATATGCTACTGTGTAGTAGTATTAGGCTACTGTACAGTTAGCATCTGAAAAAACCCATGTGCTGGTGCTATTACTCAGTAGCGCAAGTTACTGTGCATTGATTTAGTACTTGGTTATCCAAATACTAAACTGAATGTGAAGTAACTAGAGTGCATTAATGAAAGCTTAGACGCATCCACTGTGTTTTTGAGTGTGTTGTATACTTGAAACAGCTATCTGGCAGCCAGTCATGAAGGGAATTCACTGCAGCATACATGTGTGCATGGACAAATTATTGCTGTATTTGAATTGATCTGTAACTTACGTCTGCTTTTTGATGCAAAAAAATGGAGGGATGATGCTTTACAAGCCAGTCTTGGTAAAGTACCAGCCAGTCGTCCTTGACGCTGTAAATTCACATAATTTAGCAGAGGCTTGAGGGTAGGCCAGTGACTTTAGTCACTATATCATCAAGGCAACCTTTATTTATGGAAAAACTGGGGGAAAGGGAGACAAGGCTTTTGTTGTGTCAGGAACTTTCACTTCATCACTGATGCAGGAAATGCAGACTAGAACGTTTCTTTGGAAGAAAAAGGCCAGGATCCTCTTGCGAAGGATTTCCCCACTTCTGTGGGATCTCCTTTCAAAACCTTGCTGTCACAGGGATGGAAAATGTAAAAAAGACCCGAAAATATTTTAGGGCTGTGCTGGTGGAGGGGAAGAAATCTTCACTGGTAGAAAAATGTTATAAAATGAGCATGGCGTCACTGCATCTTTTTCTCTAGTCCACATTCCATCCTGTATTCGCAGCCTGGGGTACAGCCTTGCACCCGAGTGGGATGGCACCACTTCATGTGAGACTGGCATGTATAGCATGAGAGGGGACTCCATGTGTGCTTGGGATGATGCATGAGTGTTAAATGAAAATTAAGAGAGATGCTGGCTCAAAGTGATGTGTTAAGCTGGCATGTGACCTGCTTCCAGTTGTATTTAGCTCAGTGGTGTGTCAACAGTTAAAATTTTGCTTCTTACACAAGACTGTCTTCCCTTGCAGGCTCCCTAGAATCCACAGAAGCCACCTATGCATCAAAAGTGCAGGGGACTGGGACCACACCTCCCCCAACTCCCACTTCTGGTCGCACCAAGCAGAGACTTCCAGGTGAGCTCCCTAATTCACTTCCAGTAGTTTGCTAAGGCATGAAAATTTCTGCTTGAATAAAAGGCAAACTTATTGCAGTGTACACTGCCCACATCAAAAACTAGTGTGCTGATTTTTGATTTTGGTAGGACCTGATCAGTTGCTTTTAGTGACCAATGCATAAATTACAATCCAAATTGGATTTAAACAAATTTGTCTAAGCATCAGTCACATCACTTCTGCTGTAGTGCTCTGCAGACTAGGGAAAGGGGTGTCCTTTACCAGCAGTGTCACTGTCTCCAGGGCTCTTACTAGATAATATCAGAGATTATATTGAAGGCTTTTCAGTTTTGTGAATTAATAAGTAAACAACATTCTGCTATTTTGGGAAGAGAAAAAGTATGCATTAACAATGCATTAGTGTGTGGTGAATTTGCTTTGCCAGCTGGCTATTTTGTGGAACCCCTGATGTGTTGGGGAAGTAATGATATGTCAGTGACTTTGTACTGTACCATAAAAAAGCTATTAAAAATCTGCTAGGTAGTCGGGGTGTGTGAAGCGGGCCATATTCAATTCGTTGATTTGGATCGCTGTCCCAATTTTGATTCAGCCATATCTGAATCTGAAGATTCGATGCTGATTCGGCCGTAGACACGGCTTTAAATGGGTTTTTTTCCTACATACCTCAAGGTACCAGGCGCAGCTCGTGAACGGTGGGGTGGATGGAGTGTCCCACAGGAGCGCAGCCCCCCTCACCCCATATGCTTGGCGGTGGACCCCCCTCCCCCGGCAAACAGCCATGGCCCCCCCTCCGAGCCAGGAGTCATCAGGCACCAAGCTGGGAGACAGGGGGAGGGTCCCCAGCACATTCTGTGGCAGACCCAGAAGTGGACTGGAAGTGCTTCTGGTCCACTTCCGGGTCTGCTGGTGAGTGCACTGGGGAGCCCCCTGACCCACCATCGCAGCATTCACGAGCCGCCTGGTACCTTGAGGTATGTAGAAAAAACATTTTAAAGCTGTGTCTGTCCAACTCATTAAATTTCTCCGAATCGATTCAGGGAAATTTAAAGGGTCTCCTGATTTGATCCGGGTATTTGGCCGCCGAATCGAATCGGTGACTGAAGCTTTGCACAGCCCTACTAGGCAGTAGTAAAGCTGGTTCTTCCTTTCACCAAGTAAACAACAGTAGGTTAGCAAAGTGTGAACAGGTGAGGCTTTATTATTGTTAGCTTGCCTTTCTTCCTCTGCCATGAGAGAGAATTGGTTTTCTTCCTTAGTTGATTATTACTAGAAAGCCCTTCAGAACAGTGCTGGTGTATTTATGCATTCAGAACTGACTTAACATGACTACCGGCATGCTCTGTCTGACACGAACTGGCGGGGGTTTTGTTTTTGTTTCCCTGTTAGTTGTTTTTTGTTCTTTTCAGCCAAGCCTTAACTGAGCCTCTGATGCAGGGGGAAACAGTTAGAGGGGGAAGGTGAAAAATTTGCATCTCTTCTGTGCTCATAATGTTTAAGTGAACTTAATGCAAAGGCAAAATGGTACTCACTGCTACAAATGCAAAAACCAGCAGCCAACCACTGTTCAAAATCCTGGCCTACGTGCATTAAGTTATGTATTTCCTACACTCTAATACTTTTATTCATAAATATTTCTACAGGTCAAAAGCTTTTTAAAAGATCTTTAAGAAGCTCTGATGGGTTCAGTGAGACCAGTTCAGTCAGTCACACAGATGACTTGGAAAAGATGGAACAACAGCCCCATGCTTCATCCACTGTACAAGAGCAAGGGACTTCTGAGCCAGAGAAATCTGAGCAGCAAAAGGAAGTGGCACAGGCAACAAACAGAGAAACTGAAGATTTCCAAAGTGACAAATCCCCCAAATCAGGAAATGACTGCATTAAAGTAAAGGAACAGGAAAGCTTAAGATAAAACCCTGATGTTGTGGATTGAGACTTTGTACAGAAAATGCATTCCCTTTACCATAGGGAAGATGGTGTTGCATTTAAAATGTCAACAGTGCCACGTGCTAGTACAGTAACAGCTACTGTAAGTCATGATTAACTGGAATTTTGCACAAGTACATCAGTGAAAAAGTTCCCCCTCCTCTGCTGGGGAAGGGCATGAACTCTTTTATTGTACACTTATTACATTTGCTTTAATCATATACACATTAATATCACCAAAGTAATAAACAATCTCATTTATTATACTATTTGTAAACATTGCCGAAATAAATCATTTGGCAAAAGGTGATGTTTACTGTAGGAATCCAGGTGGCATTATAGTACTTGAGGAGTTGATCAGGTAGGATTAGGATTGAACATACAACTGCACCTAGTAATGTTTGTAAAGTGATTCTAATTTATATTCAACCTGCCAGTTGCTCACCATCTTTATATAAATATATAGATATATATGTCAGTTTAGCCTCCACTGTAGAACAAACTTAAGTAGACAAGCTGTCTGCATTGCAGTTCATCTCAGTTCTCTTGGATGTATTTTGGATTTGTTTTATCCCTAATCCCCAAAACTTCATTGCCTCTTACTAAGAGGATTGTCAGCAATTGTGAGTAAAGGGGATGTATACTTGTGTACATAGGAATGGCTGAACTGGCATCCATCAGTTTTTCCCACTGTTGTTTGCAGTCCACTGAGTTGTTTCTTGATCTTGTGGGACTAATGTTACTGACTTACGCCTTTTAGAAAGTGATAGTGCCTCTGCATGCCACAACTTCTTGCCCCTCACTGACGAGAATCGATACACATTTTCCTCTGCACGCCACTTATATAACCAAATCTCACTGAACACATTTTGTATAGAGTAAATGTCATCGGAGTCTTTTTCTGGTGTGTATTTTTAAAGATACCTGTTAGGAAAGCTTGAAAACCTGTCAAGTTTGTGGTTTCTACACTATCACTTTGACTAACATGGTAATATACCTATTGTAGATATTGTACAAATCCAAAGAAATTCTATAAGTTAATCATATCAACTAAGACTGCTTAAAATCCATTACAATCTGGCTAGCTTTTGCCGGAATCAAAAACTTAAGTTTTTCTCCATTACTCTGAGTCACTTGACTACACTCCTTCAGGATTTGCAATAGCCTCTCTTTGTTAAGGAAGTCCCAGAAAAACTTAATAGTGCAGAAGATATTAATTGACCTAGTCCTCCAAAACTGACTTGCTAACACTGTTGCCAGCATTCCCTTTACATAAATATGTAATTTACCACCTTGTGTAGCATCATGCTGACCCTAGCGTTAGTGGGTTGGATATTGTTATAAGGAAAACTGTTAATTTTAAGTGTACTGCTAACTAACTTTTCCTCTTGGACACCCAGATTCTGTGCAACTGGGAAGCCTTAAAATTATACTTAACTGCAATTTTGATTCCAATAGTTAGGCAAATCAGAGTGCAATTTTTCTTAAGTGCAACAACATAAGTCAACCTGTCTTCCTTATCAGTTTATTTGGTGCAATGACGTATATTAATATGGGTAAATTTGTTGGGAATGAAATTATCAACATAAAACAAAATTAATTTTTAATGTTTTTATATTTTGAAATGGTTAAAATAGCAGTTTTGTTGGAATTGAGCTATGTACTTTAGATACTACCCAAATGTTTCAATAAAAATTCTTCAAATGATTGTATCTGAGACTTGTTACTAGTAAAAGTTCAGTAACTAGTTTAACTATAAGATACCTACTCTTGTCTTGTTTATGTACAAATCCAGCTGTGGGGCATACTAGCTCATAATTATAACAGTACATACATCAATTGAGGAGCTTCTGTTTTTAGTATACATTTGGATGACAACACCCAAGTCAAGCGGAAGCTGGAGTCTCCAGCACTTAAGACATGGATAGAGCATCTCATGTAATTTCTGTGTTCCAAATATTATGTCGTCTTCCCCTCATGGTTTTGCTAGCTAGTTTTGATGGGTAAAGAAAACGTTAAATCACTGCAGAGGGACAACAGGACTCAGTGGCCAGAACACAATAAAGAACATGTATTCATGGCATCAAAGCTCTCCTTGCAAAAAAAACAGGGTAAGTCAGTTCTTTTGAATTCAAAGCAGTTGCACCAGTTAAGCTGGAAGTAGCAAGTAAGAGTAGGTGTGTATAAGGGGAAAAAGAAATCACAGAAGGTAAAGTGCAAGAAATCACATGACCGATTCATAACTCAAAGAAGGGTGAAGGGAGCTACTCCTATTGAAACTTCTAGCTCAGAAGGAACAGACAAGATATTTGAAAGCAGAGTAGTGAAAGGCTAGGAGCTCTGCAACATTTTAATATCACTGGAAATAATCCTTGAATTCAGAGAACATAATTCAATTACTGCTGTTTTATTACAATTCTCAAGCTATTGACACTTGGTTCTCAGATTGCTGGTGAGTTGCAAAGTTTACACACAGCCCCCTTTTGGCACTTTAATACTTCAGCATACTTTTCTATCAAACTCATGCAGGTTAGATCCTCTTACAGTTTGGGGTCTTATGGTCTTTGTAGGAAAGTGCCATGTATAAACTATCTAAACTCTTAACTCCAAACTTTTCAAAGCTTTTATGGAAACTTACCAGCCCAGGTACAGATTGCACTAGAGAATTTGGTGAACATGCTTTTTCTACTGTCAGGTGTTTATAGTCCTTTTTTTTCAGTTGATGGTTTAGGATACTTTGTTTGCATCAACTCTACAGGTTGACTGTATTGTATATGCACACACACTATGCCTCAGTTAATGCCATCTTTCCTACCAAAAAACAGACCCCAAAACTGGTTAAACTATACCATTATTAAAAATACACAAAACTAAAAATTTCGTAGGACAGGCAGCTGTAATGCAATACAAATGAAGAGATACAGATCTTATTCAAATACTGTTGTCACAGCCAGCAAAATACATCTGCTTAACAAATAATGCTATGGTTACAGAACAATTGCCAAGGCTTTAAGGATGTACACCTGTAACCAGTACTCAGAATCTGATCAAGATACCATAAGGATTATTATGTTCATGTAGGTTTTAAGCTTTTTGTAACAAAGAAGATATTTTCGGGAATAGCTGTTCAACTCCCGTTACATATAAAACTGTATTTTACTGCTATACCTAATTATAAAGAATATGGGACTAAGTACATCTCTGTCAGTCTCTCTCTTTTTTGTTAAAATGCAAAAATAGGTTGTAGAAACAATGATAAAATGTTACGCTTCAACTTTAGAGTCAACAGCAAAAGGTGAGGAACTAACCTGGCAATGGCCCTACCACTCACTAGTGGTGAATACTTTTAAGTTACTCATCCACAGTTTAGATAACAGAATGGGAAAGCAGCACTGGTGAATAGACTGTTACTTCAGGAGAAGCGTAGTATGAAATATTTGCCCTTTTGCAAAACAAAGGCTTTTTAGGCTCAAGTATTTGGAAATATTTGAATCGCTTTTACAGGTCTGATTGTCAATTTTTTTCTTATGTGAAAAACTGATTCATCTCACCAAAAACTAGATATGTCATTTAGGGTGCAACCACTATTTGGATTTTGAAAAATAGTTTTCTCCAATGATCAAGAAGTCACTGCATTAAGCCTGTATACCTAAACATACATTTGATAAACTTTTGTCCTTAAGGAGAGAGAGAGAGTCCTAAAGGAAAAAAAAAATTCTTGAATTGAATCTTGCAAGGTAGATTTCAAGAGGCCTCTATATACACCTGTTAGCACCAAAAGAAAGAACTGGAGAAAAAGCTCCATCGGGGCAGAAAAACTCTTAACCTCAGAAGCAACTGCTCCCTTTTGCAAGTAACAGTGCAAACAAATGCACTTCTGCCAAAATACTTTGTTTTGAAAAGCATCAGAGTTGAGGGATAGTAGGAGATGGAATCAGCATCAGTTCAGAAACATACTCCTTGCAAAATGGTCACTCTTCTGTTGGCAAGGCCACACCTTCCTGGTCTCTTTCTGGATTTGCCTGTTAAATCTTGTCAGAGCAAACCTGTACCCATAACCCTTCTTCATTTTTTTTGTAGCTGTGTGGTTTTCTGTCAGGGAACAGGGAGTATTGTGGAAAGGGGTGATCTTTTAAAAATGTTAATGTGGATCTAATGTGGGAAACAAAGTGGGGGGGCTCAGCCAGAGGAGACGTGGAAAGATTCTGAAAAATAAGACAATATTGTGAGCTAGTTCAACCCAGAATAGGAACAACTCCTGGCTGCTGGGCTTCCAGCTGCATTGTCAAGATAGGACACCCACCCTTCAGCAGTGCACAGAAAAGCCATCAGTTCAGACATTAGCAGTACTGGATACAACTAAAAACCGGTTTCTTTGGGTACCTGTAAGATCTGTTCATCATCCTGCTCCAGCCAGAAATCCACATGTGGGAAAGGCATCCAGAAGTAAGGTCCAATATGGAGCTGCTTTGTCTCTGCATCATAAATACTAATCATCTAAGACAGGAAACAGACTTTGAAAGACTTTCCTCAACCTTCAAGAGCAGTTGATTGGTTCACTTGCTGCAAGGCCAGTCCCTGCAGGGAGCACCCAGCACTTGGAGTGAAAAGCAATCTAGTTGCTTGTGGTCCATAATTCTCCAGAAAGGAGAAGGTCTTCCCCCTCTGGGTCAAAGGGTAACCAAAAATCATAAATCCTTCCTCAAGTGAGAATCATCCTATCATGAGTTTGCATGAAAGCAGATCCTACACATGGGATCTACAACTTCTAATAGGGAACAATCTTGCAGGCTAACACTTAGGAGACCCGGATTTAAACGCCCAGCTGTCCCCAGGCTCTCATTAACCTTAAGTAAATTTAGTGGGTTTTGCCCTATTCCCCACTCCTAACTGTAGATTACCACCACATCCTCTCACCTTTCATCTGCTGGGGACATCTAAGCTGCAAGTTCTCCAGGAAAGAGATCTTTCTAGGTGTTTGTGCAGCACCCACCATAAGGTAACCTGCTCTTAGCTGGAGCCTCAGGCACAGGGGCAGGCAAAGTCTGACCTGCGGGTCGGATTGCGCCTGCAGTCTCCATTTCCCAGCAGCCCCTTCCCACATTGCTGTGACAATGTGGGGCTGGATGGGGAGCTGCTCTGGGGTCTGGGATCTTGCAGCAGTGACAGCATGTTCTGGAGCCAGGGGAGAGCTGCCATTTGCTGCTCACATGCCCTGAGCAGGGACATACGGGCAGCAGATAACAGCTCGGGACCACGCTGTCACCACTGCAAGATCCCAGCCCCAGCCACATGGTAGTTCCCCACCTAGCCGCACACCCGCCCAGCGCTGCTGGGGCCAGTCTCCATGGAAACCCTGGCCCCTTGCTGTCACAGCACCACCACTGCTGGGATCTCCATGGAAACCAGCCACAGTGACACCGACAGGCACTGCTGGGAAATGGAGTCCGGCCACTGGCCAGATCACCATTTTGCCCATCCCTGTTCTAGCAGCTACTGTAATGCAAACTGACTTAGCACAAACTCCAGCCTTGTTACAGAACTACAGTACTTCCCTTAGATATAGAGAGTGACCGTTTGGCCAGGACAGTCCCAGATTTTGAAGGCCTGTTCTGGCCAGCTGATGAAAATTTAAACAAGAATCCTGGGTATGGGGCAGGGAGGCAGAGGCATGAGCTGTAAAACAGGAAGCCCTAGCAGACAGCAAAACCCTCCTAAAATAGATTAGCTTGATTAATGGAATGACCATAAAAAGGGATGATTAACACCTGTGGAGTAAAGAACAACAGGTCATTAATGGGCCACTGACTCCTGTAGCTGTCTAAATAATAATACCAGAGCTGCACCATGCTGCCCTGCCCCTGTCTTTGCCTGCAACAGCACAGCTGACTTGAGTGGCGGGGTGGAGGGGTCAGTATCCGGGACTTTACATTGTCCCATACAGTTACCCTACTTAAACAGCAGCTCTCGAAGCAAAGGTTTACAAGACCAGTGTTGTTGATCATAGCCTGGCATTATATCAGTCAGAGACATTTCTCCTTAAAGGAAAAGTTTTCAATTAGCGATAATCACACCTAGGATTAAAACTCATTGGCTATGATACTACCACTGCACAAAGCATAGATTTCTCTCATAAGCCACTGATACTTTTCCCTCATTAGTCATGTTCTTACCCCAGTAAAACTATACCTTTTTCACTCACCTTTGCTCCTGTTAAGGTACGGGCTGAACGTAAATCCTCATCTGGTCCCTTATCTGGAAAAGTTGCATGGAAGATCTCTCCTGTTTTAACATTCACAGCTGAGGGGAGAGCAGTTATCAGTTACCAATGACTTGTACCCATCTACCCACACACACTGTATTCCAGACAAACAAAACCAAGACACAATAACCAGCAAACTTCAGGGCCAAATCAAGCAACTTATGTCAAAGGCATTGATAAAGAAATGTTGCATTTAGCCCCTAGTTTGCTCTATTTTCACAATGCTGCCTAGGGTGGTTTCTAATCTTCCAGAAGAAAGTTTAAAGCAGTGGATCTCATCATTTTTAGACCTGAGAAAAAATGCTAGGTCTTAGTTTTCATTTTTTTTTTTTTAAACTACAAAAGCAATTCTTCTGTTGCAAAGAGCTCAGAAAGACCACAACAGGTCACCATGGTTTTAACACTATGGATTCCTATGTGAAGTCTCTGGGTCCATTTTGTGAATCAAATTTGCACACCAACCTGTGCTAACATGCATCACCCCTGAAAGGGTCTCAAAGCACCCTGCTTAAGAATCACTGTTTTAAAGGATGCTGCTTATTTGAAAATAAGGCCCCACCAAGTTTTGTTCCAATGGTATTGCACTGTTGGTAGATAAGAGAGGAACAGAAAAATTAACTAAGCACAGTGGAAAGAAGTTTGGTTTCTAGACAGACTAAGGAACAGGTGGCACCACAGAACAGCTCCTTTGCACTGCATGGTCTGCCTATTAAAGAAGATGAAGAAAACCAGGGGCAGTGGGACATGTGCATTTCTGGAATGCCAGGGGCATCTCCTGAACACCAGAACTACTGCTGTCAAGTAGAGCCAGTCTCCAAGTGCTACTACCAGCAGTGCTGTCCTAACAAGCTGTATTGAATCCTGTGCATTATGGTACTACTTGCATTAGCAAACTTTGGGAGAATAGCATATTTGCTAGAAAATCGGAAATACAGCCAGTGCCCAAGTTGTGCTATACTCACCAATTCCATACACAATTGGGAAATGATTGTCCTTCTCCTCCCTGTCATTTAATTCTGTTACAAAGAGAACAGACAGGATGTTCATCTTGGCAGCCATCCAGAAGGATATTCATTTATTTTCAAGCAGCATTATGTAGACTTACTCAGGGAGAGGCTCATGCATTACAAAAGGAGAGAGAGAGGCCCATGCATTGCAAAGACAATGTGTGGACAATGTAGAACTAACCTATAACATACTATTATCACATGACCTAGATCCATGCCCTAAGAAGGTGAAAACTGAATCAGCCCTTTGGGACTAAAGGGCCCTGGGGAAGGGCATCATGGGGGCAGAGAGCTCCTGTGCTGGACTGTGGTTGGCTCTGCCCAAAGCCCCTAATCCCTTAACTTCATGAGCAAGAAATTTCTAAGGGTGCGCCAATAAAGAATTTTGGGGCTGATACCGATGGCCGAATATTAACGACCCATATTAACCAATACTGATCTGATTGCTAATGTGCCTCATGATCAAGAGCCTTGCATATTGTTTTAGGGCTTGAACAGCCTCTTATGGAGTAGAAAAACATTAAGTCTCTTACCTGTCACGCAGTAAGTCATTAAATGGACATCATCTTGCTGGAGGTCAAAAGCTCCTATAGCAACAACAACAGCAGCAGGGTATAAAACTGCCTTATGTCAAAGCAGACACTGTACTTAGATTAGGTCAGCATTATGTACTGTAAATTAGATGGGCAACTCAGTCTGCCAGCAGAAAAAGTGTCCAGTCCACTGTTCCTGGCAGAGATAATCAATCAGCATGGGGTTTTTTTGTTTGTTTTTACAGGGATGGCTCAATATTTTTTTCTTATGAAACAAAGCCTTAGCTAGTGCACCTTTCATGCAACTGTCTGCTAACAAGGATCAAAACTTATTTGTTAAATGAGAAAGCCTTTTATCAACATTTTATGCCTTTCTCTGGCATTGTAGGATCTCTGGCTTGGTACAGTCAGCAGAACTCACTTTTTAACTGTCCTTTTCACTTTCAATGCAAGCAAAAGACAATTTTTCTTCTTTTTGAAGTTCTAATATAAGAGCTTCCTTATTTTATAGTCAGAGCATAGGTTTAGAAAATTTCTTTGCTAAACAAGAAGGCTCTCTCTTTTGGGCTATTATCCCACAGTCAAACCCCCCAGCCTACACACACACACACACACACACACACACACACAATAAGGAAGGAGGACTCATTAGCTGAGTGGCACAGATGCCTCTCAGAATACTTCCTCTGCCAACCCTAACCCCCTTTAGACAACCTTTGCTGGTCCTTGTCTAATCACAAAGTGTGTCCAACTCCTACTGGTTTCAACCGGGGCCAAGAGCCCCCCAAAATTCACTAGAGGTGCTCAGCTTCTTCAGGTTAAAGCACTTGGGGCCAGGATGTGTGTTTCTGGTTTATCTGTGAGTGGCATGTACACCTCTGATGCTACAGGCATAAAGGTATATAATACCTTTCATGGGAGGATTTCAAGACACTGATTAAATATCACACCCCTTTCCCCATAAGCTGGATACTATCAATTTTATACATGAATAAACTTAGATACAAGACAGATAAGAGACTTAACCAAGATTATGAAGCATGCCAGTAGCCAGAGGCAGGAATAAATCCACCCATCTTGTTTCTCAATATCCTGCTCCAATAGACAAGCCAAGAGCAAATCACTATTTAAAAAGTCCACATCCTCCATCCTGTACATCACACAAATATAAATCTCATAATCCCATGCCATACTTTAAGTTCCCAGATGGAGAAAAACAGTGATTCCAGATTTCTTTCTGTTGCATGATGGGAGATTCAGATCACACACAAAATTTGCACCAATCCAGTCAGAACTCTAGGTTTTGGACATGAGAGTGGAAAAAGTGTGAACTTACTAAGAAGCTGATTAGTAAGTTTTTGTGATAAATGCCTATCATCATTGAAACCTCCAACTAGGTGCACTTCCAACCTAACAAAGATGGAACAACAGGAAACAGCAATTAAAAAAAAAAGACATCCCAAAGTGAACAGCTTTACATTATAACCCCCAGCCCACAATGTAAATGATCATTAGAAAAGACTCTTTTGTTTATCAAATGCTCCAGTTGTTTGCTTATTAACTCATGGCTCCATGCTCTAGACATAATAGGGAATAATATCCAGTGAGCAGCACAAACTATGGCACTGAGCACATGTAGCCCTTAATTTAATGGTATCTAGAAGCACTAACGGCCTTAGGACTGGACCTTAAATCACAAAAACTGGGACAAAGATCAATTAAATACAAAGTAGTCTCACTCCAGTGACTTCCCCCCCACCACTACCTTCGACCATAAGGCAGGGCTCTCCTCTGGGAAGTGTCCGTAAATACAATCCACTTACTCAGGGGTCAACAGCCTACAGCCCAGATCTGGCCCGCAAAAAGGTTAGATCCAATACAGGGGACTGGTGGCACACAGATATGCTGTGCTGTGCCACCCATGCCCACCTCAGCCCTCCCTGCTGCTCACTCACACCTGTGCTTACCCTCGCCCTTCTCCATTGACCCTGGGGACAGGGATAAGCAGCTAGGGTAAGTGTAGGCAGCTCAGGCCCCTCAGGGGGTGGAGATCTGCAGCCCACAGCCACAAAGGCTGCGGACAGCCACGCTTTATTCAAGAGGTCTGCCCCCAGGCTGAAGTTTTCAAAGGTGACTAGTCACCTTTGTCAGTTCTGAGTGCTCAACTTCACATGAAGGGGCCCAATTTTCAGAGTGCTGAGGATTTACCATCTGAAAACCATCCCCTTCAAAAGGAGTTGGCTTGTGAAAGTTCATCATCTGCCAACTAAGCAGTTTTTACTTCTATTAGGTGCATACAAGCAAACAACCAAAAAGGATGGATGGAGCTATATAGTTTTCTGTCCCCCACATCATCAACTAAGAAAGACTGAGAGAGCCAGAAAAGTCGCACGTAAATTCTCAAATCTCCGTTTGGGGACAAGGAAGGAAAAACTACAAACAAACAAAATGCCATTTATGAAACTAAGCACATTTGAGACAAGTCACCAGAAGACAATAAACATGGGACTTCACAGTGACATTTTTACAAAGAGACAATTTGCAAGCTTTATATCAAATCACTGGTAGAAGGAAATCTAAAACAATCAATTAATCTATACATAAAAAAATTCATGGTTCTCAGCAAGTTTAGAAAAGGGAAAGTTATTAGCTGTGTTATAATGTCATTAGGAACACAAATATCAGGAAACTGCGGAAAGAGCTTCTTACTGAGACGTTTACTTGCTCATACTGGGCAAGCAGTTACCTGCATCTGAGTCCCTAATGAGCACACTTAGAACTTCCCACCTGAACGACTGTAGCAACCTTGGGAAATGTTGCACACAAGAAACAGAGCAGAGCTGACCTTCCACATGCTGCGTTGCTAGAAAGAGACTTTACTGAACTCATGATCAGTAACACCTCAGCCTCTGTGTCTGATCCATCAAAGTGCGTCAAGCAGGTAGCCCCGCTGCCTGAAAGGCAGAAAATGAGAAAACGTTCACCTGACCACAGATCTCACATCATGCAAAGCACCATTAACACCACCACCATTGCTTTGTTATTCTGCAGTCCTTTGTATCAGTGCAGCGACAGCACAGCCATTTTACAGGAGAAAGCCACCAAAAGGGGTTAAGTGACTTCTCTCAAATCATGCAAATGAACCTGCAGAGGCACCCTACACTCCCTCAGTTTCCTGTAGTCACCCATAAGTTGCTTCCTGTGTAACTTAGTAGCTACAGCAAGGAATCTGAATTCCCCACCATCAATTATCAATAACCCAGCAGCTGCCAGGGGTAGGATGAAAAGGTCTTGCACAGCTTTTGTTCACAGTGCCGCAGCCAACACAGGTTGGGAATTATAATGACAGTGAAACTAAGCACCCAGGGAAGCTTAAAGCATCAAATTGAAATAACAAGTGCCCGGTTATCTGAGAAATACGGGCCTCCTTTACCATACCTGTGTGCCTCAGCACCACCAAGTGGCAGGTCGTGGCATCCTCGGATCCAAGAATGGAAACGGAGCCTATTTTAACGAAGAGAAAGACACTGAGATCCCGTCCTGCTTGCTGCTTCCACACGGAAGGTTATCACCACCGCTTCGCCTACCATCTGCAGGGGTGGTCACTGCAAACTCTCTCTGCTGGACATACAGAAGTCCTTTGGGTCCCACCGTCTGAGCAGGCTGGCTTGTGAGAACTTTTGCTTTCTCCTAAAAATAAAACAGAGGCAAAAGTGACCGACGGTGCGGCCGGCGCTGAGGTGCACACGGTCAAGGGAGGGCTCCGGGCGACCAGAAACCCTCAGAGCAATCCCCAAATGGGAACCGGTGGATCCCACATCACCCAGAGCAGAGGGACCCTCGTGGGGGCGCAGAGGAGGACGAGGCGCGAGCGGGAGGGCCCGGCGCCGGGGGCACAACAGCGGAGCCCTGGGGCGTCGCAGCGCAGCCCCCGCCCTCACCACCAGGTGCGGGTGGGCTCGCAGCAGGTCCCCCGCCGGCCGCCC